TTTGTTTATAGTATCCTTTGCTTTTGAGCATTGTGATTTGAGGAACAAATATGAGATCTGAGCCCAAAGAGCTGGGGTTGAAGCCTGGAACCTTCTCTAATCTGTGTGACCTTTGCCAAGTTGCTTGGCCTCTCTGAGCATTTATTCTCTCTTCAAAGAACAGGGGTAATAACCCTCCTGTTCTGCCCACTAGGGTTGTTACAAAGATTCAAATAAAAGCATGAATGCAAAAACACCTTACAAACAGTAAAATACCCTCCAAAGGGGAGAGTATTAGATGCCCCTTTTTTCTTGAGAAGAGGTACAGTAGTGCCTTGACAATTGAAGCAGGCCTGGAGTGGTGGCAACCTGTCCATCTTACTCTGTGGCATTTGTCAAGCCAGCATCCAGGAAATAGGAACCTGGGAGCTGTGAGGCTGGAGGAGGGGCCTGGGAAAGCCCCAGCTACAATCCTAACGTCTCTGGGTTTCCACTGGTCACCGATTACCATTAATAAAGACAATAGCAATAATGACAGAATAAAAAGGGTTAATAATTACTGAGCGCTTCCTGCATGCCAGGCCCTGCGCTAAGGGCTTTATAGGCATTATCTCAAAAAGTCCTCAGATAACCCTGTGAGATGGGCACTGCCATTACTCCGATTTTATGAATGAGGAAACATGTTCAGAGAGATCACACATTTAGTAAGCGGCAGGGCTGGGACGTGAGCCCAGGCAGCATCTTTGTTTTCTTTTGAGCACCGTCTCTGTCATCTCTTAAGTTGAGTTTCCCTTTGGCCAAAGACATCCCGTCAAACACAAATGTGTGAGTCTTCAATTCCAAATATCAATTGAGATAATTTTAATAAATTTGATCTCATTTTCAGTAATGAAACCCATGTTCTAAAACTTGAAGCTAATTTTTTTTAATTGAATTTAGTTGGTGTACAAATTGCATTACAGGTGTACCATAGAGTGAGCCACAAGTTTTAAAGCTTATACTCTGTAATAGCTATCATAAAATATTGGCTATATTTCCTGTGGCGTACAATATATCCTTGCAGCTTATTTTGTACATAATAGTTTGTACACTTAATCCCCTACCCCTATACTGAGAAGGAGAGAGAGATGAAACTTGAAGATTCTTTTAAAATCTAGGTGTATGTATTAGCTCCCCATCGATGCTGTGATAAATTACCATAAACTCAGGGACTTAAAACAAGTTTGGTCGGTCAGAAGTCCAACGAGGATCTTTCCAGGTTAACACGAAGGTGCTGGCAGAGCTGTGTTCTTCCTAGAGGCTCTAAGGAGACCCCTTTTCCGCGCAGTTTCCAGCTTTTAGAGGCTGCTCCAATTCCTTGGCTTGGGGCCATTTTCAAAGTGCTTCACTCCAACCTCTGCAGCTGCTGTCACATCTCTTCCCTCCAACATAGACCCTCTTGCCTCCCTCTTAAAAAAGATTAAGTGAGCCCGCTTGGATAATCCAAGACAGTCTCTCCATCTCAAAATCTTTAAGCTAATCACATCTGCAAAGTCCTTTCTGCTGTAGACAGTAACACAGTCCCAGGTTCTGGGGAGCGGGATGTAGCTGTATTTGGGGGGAGAGGTATTCTGTTTACTACAGTGTGTGCATCAAGGCAATAGTGAACAGTAAAAATGAAACAAAGGAATAAGACAATTGCCTTCCCAATGTTAAACTCCAAAATTAGCACGTAATGGATAAGGGCAGCCCTCAGCAAATTCCACCCACAGAGGAGTTTCCCAGGCTAAGGTCTAGCAGAGGGAGGGCTGAGCTACAAAGGAGCCCAGAGGAAAGGCAGCCAGGTGGCAGATGTTTTCAGCATCACCCTGATCTGTCTAGCGCAGAAGACGTTCAGATGACTGATGGGAACATCTAGTTTTGTTCACCATCCAAACCTGAGGCCATTATGTAATCTCAACTCACCAAGCATCTCCAGATTATGACTGGACTTCTTTGAGAAGTTTTCCTGCAGGAAGAGAATGTACCCATCACACCAACATTTGATACTCATGTTTCTCTTTGTAAATTGATGTCATCAGTCTCCCGTGAGTGAGCTGCAGTGACTCAGCACCACCAGGACTGATAAACTCAAAAGCATGGACAAGGCTGACTTTCTGGGCCAAGGGAATGTCATCAAGGGAGTGCCACCCTTGACGCCACCCTGGAGAGGGTTCTGGGCCTGCCAGATGGCCCAGCCCTGGTGATGCAGGACGCTGCCTTTCAGATACAGGTACGTGATTCCTGGCTAGTTAGAGCAGCTAGCAGTAAGGATGACTTACAGCTTTTCTAAACATGAGATTCGGACAATGAGTCACCATGTTTACTACTATTTTCACCCTAACTTCAGTAGCATTTTTAACAAGTTATATAAAATAAAGCTTGCTAGAAAAAAATCGAACAAGAAGAAATAAAATATTCAAGAGGCATGGTGTTGTGATGGAGAGTGGGCTCACAGCAGGATCCGAGTTCCTGCTCTGGTTCTAAGTCCCTGTGTGATCTGGGACAAGCCTCTTTCCATCTCTGAGCCTCAGTTTTCTCATCTGCAAAATAAGGGACGTGGCTTCAATCAGTGATTCCCGACTGCACGTCAAAACCACCAGTGAACTTTTGGAAACTGTCAGTGCCCAGGCCTCAGTGGGGTTGAGAACCACTGTCTCTGAATGAAGGCCAAAGTCCTTTCCACATTGTCTATTGTATATTCCATGAAAGGTCTGGAATTGGTCAGCGAAAATCTGGGTTCAGATTTATTGGAGGCACTCATCCTCCTTACTGAATAGCAAATGAAACTGAACAAGGAAAAGAGAATTGAGTGTCAACTACCTACAAAGCACTAAAGTAGACCCTTTAGAGGTCCCTGCACTCAGACCTTACTGTGAATCGGCTATGTGGACACGTACCCAACTAGTGGCAAGAAAAAGAGGGATGGACATGTTCATTTTAGAATTCATCACACCCTGTATTAAATGAATAATTCCTTTAATTTCTGTTGGGCCTCTTTTTCCAGAAATTCAGATCCTTTTTTATATTTCTCAGCAATGGGGGGTGAGCTGGATCCCCTGATGCACAGAGCTCTCACAGCCAAAGCACCCTCCCCGGTTCCCCACCTGGTGGCCTCTATTGAGCATTTAGAAGTGGCAACTCAACAGGTTTCACTTTTAATATTCATTAAGTGCTTATTATGTGCCAGGCACTATTCCAAGAGTTTTATGGATGTTAACTCACTCAATCTGCAAAGGAGCCTATGAGATAAACACTGTTACCTTTACCACATCACAGATGAGGACAGTGATACAGAGAGCCCATGTCACTTGTCCCGGGACACATGGCTTGTAAGCCGGGAGCTGGGGCTGGAGACTGGTCCTGGATCTCACGCTCCCATAAGTGGAGTCTGTGCCCTTCATGGAATGTTCTATGTCTGCCAAAAAGAATGCCTCCAAAGGATGAAGAACAGCTTGGGAAACGTTTATGTTAAAATGTTAGTAAGATAAACGTATAAAAAAACATTTAGTAAGGTAAGCGAATAAAAAAGTTAGTAAGATAAACGTACAAAAAAAACTTCATCAAAGACTGTGAAGAGCCCAAACAAAACAAAAATCACTAAAAAATATACATATACATAGTGGAAAAGACTGGAATAAAATTTTAAAAAGAGACTGGAAGGAAAGTAACAAAACATTAAGAATGCTCAGAGGATGGGATCACAATTGAATTTAAGATTCCTCCTGTTTGTATTTTTTCATAATGACAAGGCTTTCTTATAATCTCATCCCCCACAAACAAGTAAGTTGTATTACTACGTTTTTCTGTCAGAAAGCATTGGGGCTAAGCTCTGATAGTGCAAAAAATAGTTTTGGTTTCAAAAACTGGCAGATCAGTCATTTGAAATTTAAAAGGTCTTTTCTCGTGGCTACGAGAGAATCCATATTGAGAAGTTTTTTTCTTAAACTCGCATTTTGAACTAAGTCCCTGGCACGGTTCTAAGAACATTATAATTCCTTATTTAGTGAGCTAGGAATTGTTTTAGCCCCATTTTACAGTGATGACGAAATCACTTGCCTGAATTTCAAAGCCAGCCCATGTCCCTGTCCAGCTTAGGGCTGCGGTATACTGTATGTTTCTCCCTGTCTTACTTCCTGCCGCTGCAGCTTTCCTTGTGAACAGGCCATATTGGCTATCTTTCTGGCTAAACAGTTGCTGGGGACTTTCCTGGGGCCCTAACTTGCCCTCAGAATACTATTGGTAGGGAAAAAAGCTTTGGATCCCATCTGGGGCTTGCAAACCCTGTGTGTCCCTGCTCCCCTCCCCCCGCAGCCCCATCAGCAGGTCATTCACACAAAAACCATCTTCACGGGTGGGACACTCTTTCCTTAGGGTGACCAGAACTGATGCCTCACATCTGGCAGTTTCCACCTGAGTCTAGTTCTCCTGCTCCATCCTCAGCATACACCTGGGCCCTGCCATCTCACCTCGGGCAGGCCAAAGGTGCCTTCTTCAGGACCACATGTGGAGAGAGAAGCCATTCCTAGACTTATTCTTCCCTTTCAGAGGGAATGTTGGTGCTGAACCCTTGCTATATGTACATTTTTTTGGTAGGTCAAGTTCAAGTAAGGACAGAAGCCCAACCACGGGCCATCGGCACTAGCCCTGCCTAAAACAGCATCTCGAGATAGCAAGCATTCTCAGTCCAGCCTATGGCATCAGCTAAGAATGAAAAAGTCGCATTAGATCATATAGATCGGCTTGGGCTTGGCATTACATTTTGAATCTCTATCCTTATTCCCAAAAGGTCCATTTACTTCCCATGTTGGGAACTTCCCCCTCCATTTCCCATGCCAAAGAGAAGAGAGAACTTCTCTTCATCCCAGAGGTCTAGAACCCTACTGACCGAGCTTAGGAAATAGGGAGCATAGCAGAGCTGCCTGTGGGATTGACTGTCACTGTGTGCAATCAGCCAAGCTCCTTCACTATCTTAGAGGCCAGCAATTCTCAGGGGATCTTCCTGTGGGTTAATACTTGACATGCTTATGGAGGGAGGATTGGGTCCCTGGGATGTGAGTGGAGGGTAGTCACCTGTGCCCCTTGTGAAAGAAGCTATCAGCACATGGTCCGCATCATCTGATGCCAGGTCGGAGCTGAACCTGTATAAAAGGCAGGAGATTCTGACAGCACCTCAGTCCACCTGCCTCCTGGGTGATCTGCTCCAGTGCCTGAACCAGGTAAGGTGAATCTCAAGGAGCAGGAGGGACTCTTGGTGCTGGGGTTGCGGCAGAGAGAAGCCGATGACCATACTGAAGAAAGACGAGGAGAAACGTGGATTTGGAAGGCAGGGCTCTGCTGGAACGGGAGGGAGAATTGGAGGAAGGGGAAAAAGGATTGTCAACTTTTTTGAAATTACAAAAATAATCATTTGAAATTATGGAGTTCCTAGGTTGAAACAGTTTTCCTATTTCTTATAACTCATCTGGGGAGACTGGGTTTAAAAAATCCGATCATCAGAAAGAAGAAATCTTGTGAGTTCATGGTTCAATTTCAAACGTAAGGAAGTTATCTTGGGCTAGTTAAACTTAAAACTTCTGTATTTTCTTCCAGTTTCGTTCAGCTCCCGCTGAGATGTCCTGCCAGCAAAGCCAGCAGCAGTGCCAGCCCCCTCCCAAGTGTCCCCCAAAATGTCCCCCGAAGTGTACTCCTAAGTGCCCCCCCAAGTGCACCAAGAGCCCCGCCCCTAAGTGCACCCCCAAGTGCCCTCCAGTCTCTTCCTGCTGTGGCTCCAGCTCCGGGGGCTGCTGTGGCTCTGGGGGTGGCGGCTGCAGCCTGAGCCACCACAAGCTTCGCCGATCTCTTCGACGCCGACACCAGAGTTCTGGCTGCTGTGGTAGTGGCAGTGGCTCTGGCTGTTGCTCTGGGGGCTCCAGCTTGTGCTCTGGGGGCTCCAGCTGCTGCTCCGGGGGCTCCAGCTTGTGCTCTGGGGGCTCCAGCTCCTGCTCTGGGGGCTCTGGCTGCAGCTCCGGCTGCTGACCTGGGTCATGAGGACCACCGAGGAGCAACACTGCAGGAGCCCAAGTCCCCGCGACCCGCCCAGCCTGAGATGTCTCTTCTCCTGGTTTGGGAGAGCAGAAGAGAATGCAAGGGCCTCTGAGATGCTTTGAGTTTCCGTCTTCTTCCTGCCCGTGTTCGTTCCATTGTGAGGGCTAGCGGTCTGGTCTCTCATGTTCACTGGCCTGATTCCCCTCAGATACAGTTCTTTGGGGGACTTGGTGTCAGAGTTGGGTTATGAAGCTATTTTCTCTGTAACAATAAAGTCTTTTATTACTGATGTCACTGCCCCCTGAGGATTTTGTTCACCTCTCTCACTCCTCACCCCCTGCATCAAGCCACCCTCCCTTCCCTTCTCTTAAATGCAAGTGAACACTTAAAAATTCAGTTTGGGAAACAGGTTTCAGCACTGAAGGTACTTAGACCTCTGGGAAACATTATTCCCTTTTATGATCTGAAGGTGGGAACTTAATGTTGGAAGGAAAGAATCATGTCCAAGACCTTTACTCTGATACGAGATTCGTATGAGAAGAGTTGGGAGCAGGTTTTCCGAGAGGAGATTGTGGTACCTAGAAAGGTCACAGTGAGATGGCTCACAGAACATTCCCTTCAAGCATGGGTGATAGTTTAAAAAAGACTTTATTTCCTAGTTTTGGGCAATAAGATCACCTAAAGTGCTCATTCTGGGCTCCAATGAATGAACACCTTTACTTTTCTGGTTATTGTAATCTCAGGTACTTCCATCATATGACTAGAGAGCAGAGCTGGTGGAGGGTTACTTCCTGGGGGAGTGAGGTTAGGAGGCAGGATGGAATGTCTGAACCCATTTCCCCTGGTTCCTGGAAGCCCAAGTTTGGGTCTGAAAGTCCTTCCTCTACCAAAGACTCTCTCCTTGTGGTGTGTGTGGTGGTGGCGGCAGGGAGTGGGGTGGAATAGAAGGGGGAGATGGGGGGGTTCGGTCACCGTGCTGGGTTTTCTATTTCCTTTAGGAATAGACTGATTCCTTCAGGAAAGACTCAGAAATGATCATTCTGAATCAGCCTTCTATGTACAAGATGAACAATTAGCCCTTCCTTTGATAACAGTTAACAGTGACAGGCAAGTCAGTTAATATACGAGGCTAGAGCAGGTCCATATAACGAGCACATACTTGCCCCAGTCATCTCCCAGAGGAGATCCTGTCCCCATCTTGACACTTAAATTACTTCCTTCTCTCTTCTAATACTGACCTCACCTCTTGAATGTCTCATCTGTACTCACCAACAGGCCGCCCCGGGTACATACAACCGGGTAATCGGGCTCTAAAGCCATCTTAAACGAAACTGGCATCTTTTGTGACCCACCTTTTCTTGTCTGCTCCCTCATGCCACTCCCAGCTCACTCACTCCCAAACCTAAGTCTCATCATCAATTTTTGAATTTTTAGTCTTGGGTTTCTCTTTTATCTCACATTCACGGGCAGTTGCATTGATTAAGAAACAGTTTTGAAACCAGTTGACTGCCAAAGGCTCTCCCAATTGTTAAAAGTTAGTTGTTCTAAAGGTACCATTTTCATGGACACTTTGGACCTCAGGAAAGAACTCCTTTCCTCCCTCCCTTCATCCTTCCCTCCCTCCCTCCTTCCCTCTCTCCCTTTCTTTGCCCCCTACCTCCCTTCCTTTGCCCCCTACCTCCCTTCCTTTTCTTCTTTTCTTTTTCTTCCTTTCTTCCTTCCTTCCTTCCTTTCTTTCTTTCTTTCTTTCTCTGTTTTTCTCTCTCTCTTTCTCTCTCTCTCTCTCCCCTCTCCCTCCTTCCC